AGACCAGTAGAAGATTGTTACCACGAGGTGAGGGAACAGCAGGATCTGAAAGGAGAATTCAGAAAGGTGGGTTGGTTGCCTGCGAAACATCCATTTCCCCCTCCACCTCTTTCATCTTAATCCCTTATCCTTCATCCTTTTAAATAAAAGTGGAAACTTCCACTTCTAAACCTGTGCTTTTCAGGAGGCTGGCCTCAGGTGCAGGGATTGATTTCCAGTTTATCTAAGACATTCTTCTCGTCTGCAGATGAGTTTTATTGGATACTATGATACTAGCTACTGAAACATGTAATTAAATATACCAAAGGACATCTAGGAAATGTTCTTACCTTTCTCCTAAGATGAAATGCAGGAAAATGCAATCTGTTGTCTCTGACTATGATATTAGAATTGGTAGAGCCATGTTGAAAGAATCAAAGAAGCTAATGTGAAATCAAAGTTTGTACATCAAGAATGGCAAGATATGGAAAGACAAAAGGAACTGGATCCTTAATGCTTTAAATGGTATTTTGGTGGTACTTATTTATTTATTGTTTTAATTTGAAACCAAAAACATTCTGACATGTAGGAGGTTCTTACTTATTTTTATATAAACCAGAGTTTATATTTTGGACATAGAAATGGCTATTTATTTATTATTTAAAAAGTAGAATTTTCTATTTTAAAAACACTATATATTATCTCTTACAGTGATTAGTGAAAACCAAAGAAAATATGCATTTTAGAATTAGGACTTTTGGGGAAAATAAACCACGGAAACTAGTATTCATTAAATAGTAATATCTTTTTTTTTCTTTTAAGCAGCACAGCAGTTACTTAGTAAAATTTCTGAATTGACATCATAAATTGGCCTGAATATAGTTCTTTGAACTATCATTATGGAATTTCTCAGTTGGTGAAGGATACAGCTGCTTTTTACAGAAGCATTTTGTATCTTGGTGGAATATTGTCCTCATATACTTGGAGATAATGTTACTATATCCTATTAGAAGGAATAACTTTAAATTTTCAAAAAAAGGCATTAATGGAAAAATTACTGTTGGATGATACCAACAGATTCATACAATTATTTAAATGCTCTGTGCTTCTGATGTTAGCAGAGGACATTTGTTAGATTTTGCATCTATTTTTAACTCTGATCATAGGATCTCCACCTACTCTTTGGAAAATCTGGCTTGTGGTATTTCAGTGACTTCATTTTCATAACAGTATTCTGTTTATGAGGAATACCAGTTTTCTACATATAGAATCATTCTGTCTTTATTAGTGCAAAACAATATGATTCTTCCTCCTTTTTTCATAACAGTATTCTGTTTATGAGGAATACCAGTTTTCTACATATAGACTCATCCTGTCTTTATTAGTGCAAAACAATATGATTCTTTCTCCTTTTCTACAAGGAAAGGACACATGATTCATTTTAATAATGTGAATCTTGATCTTTTACTTACTAACATGAAGATCAACTGAAATTCCTATAGAGAATAGGCGTACAAGAGGAATTTAGTCAACAAAATTAAGTATTGTCAATGAAATACACTAGGATGAGTTTCAGTGAAGTGTAAAAGAAAGTGCATCAGAATGGTGGCCTAAACATGATACAAGTGTCATCCCTAAAGTATTAACTAAATCAGAAACTAGATAATCCAGGGCTCCGGGGCTGTAGGATAGCCCCACATCATGGGGACAGTCGGACTCCTCCGTCATTGCCACCACACATACCTGCACATGCCTTGATTCTAATGCCACCTCCTAGGGCTCTTATGGTGCTTGTGCTCCAGGTAGCAGGAAGGAATACTAAATGGAAGAGCCAAGGGACATGCCTCCTGGGAAGAATGGCATATGAATCCCCCATGTACGTCACCACAATGCAAGTAATGCCTCTGTTTAGATTTTATTGATTTAATCTTGATCACATGTAATCCATAGTCCCAAGGGAGACTGGAATGCCTTCTAGGTGGACTTATTTAAAACTGCTTATTCAAAAGCTCCATGCTTCTCTCACAGTCTCTATCACAGTACGCTTAAGATTGCCTCCCAATCCCACATGCATTTATGTCAGATTCAAAACTCCATCAGAACGTAAACATTTCCATTTTACCTTTGTTCTCTGCCCTTTTTCAGACCATAGGACTTTTTTTTTTCTTGGGCAGGGTGGGGGAGACAATTTTACCATTCTGATACTTCGATTTCTTATAAATATGATTAGACATAACAACATACCATATTCCATCCTAAAAATATTTCAGGCCCACCGACTCCAAATTCATTCCTATAAAATAGAAGTAAAATTATTCTTTTTCTGTAAATTCATATATAGCAATTGGGAAACAAAAGGATACAGTCAAAATGTATCCAAAATATTAATTTGCTTATCAGTAACTCCTAAGTTTTCAAAAATTACTTTTCCCAAAAAAGTTAAAAAAAAAAAAAAGGAAACTCACTCTAAGAATTAAGACAGATTGCTTTTGATATTTCAGAGAAGCCTAGAAAGTACTCTAGGATCATTTTTATGAAGTGAAACATAGGAACAGTAGTACCACTGTACATATCACAGGATTTGACTTCTCCTGAAATGCTTTATCATCAGCATACATTTTTGGAGGTTCTTCCTAGCTTAAATTTCCCCAATTTCCTACTAATTCTGTCATCACATCAATTACTCTCTGCTGCCAACTCAGCCAGCCCCATCCAAGTGACCTTAGCACGTACGTGGCAGAATGCCAACAAGCTGCCACCAGAGATCCATAATTTTTGATACTAAATATAAAGTGTCACTCTGCTTTCTCTTCTTAAGTTTTTCTATGGCCTGTGTAATTTTTCTCAGTTCTTTTATGCAGGATACACATCAGCAAGAACATAATTCGCATGATATTCACCTTTAATTATTTATATTCCTATATCTTATGGGGGAGGCAGAGATAATGGTAGGATTAAATACAGATGGCTTTTCTTACAGGTAAAATCATTATCATCATAAATATTATAAGTAAATAATAGTTTTGGAACATTTTAAGTGTAAACATTATTTATAGTGGTTTTACATTATACCTATATCATCTCAGGAACTGTGGGAGGAAAAATAGATGTTATTATCCCATTTTACAGAAGTGGGCTGCAAGTCAAAGAGGTAAACCATCTTAAGTACAATTATTTTGTTAGTATAAACATTACCAATATTTGAAACTAGGTATTTCTGATTAGAAAGCTCATGCTTATTAAAAAAATAAGACATGGCTAGTATATTTCCATTGGATATTGTTTCTGACAATTCTGTCCCCAAAAAGCCAGTTTTAGAACTGAGAACTCATGTGTGAATTTCCTATTTGTCCACCAGCTCTTACAACCTCTCAGATTCTCAAGTGTGTGAAAAGACTTCAGGTTGAATAGTAAAGCTGTTTGCAGGTGTAGTCTGTTGCTCTCAGTGTGGGTTTACAGCTCTTGAAAAACAACTTTTGAGGAAAGCCTCTGTTTGATGTGGATGACTGTGGAGTTATTTATATATTGTGGAGCCAATGTGAATCCATGGTGAAAAGAAAGTTCCCAGCTAATGAGCTGGAAGCTGGATTCAGGTCAAAGTGAAGAACAGCATAGTGTTCAAATCTACCTAGACAAATGCAGAGCCTGTGCCTGTACTCAGATGCCTGGGGTTGGTTTCTACATATTTTTTAAAGGTTGAAAGGGTGTGAGTGAGATCTACTTCCACTAGTTCAATCCCATGTGGCTAAAGCTTGGTCATCAATCTTTCAGGCCAAGAGAGACATTTTTCTCCCCCTCAGCTTTACTCAAAACCACAAAGGTGGAAAGGAAAATACCTATTCATTAATGTCAGATGCTGATTCAAATGGCTTACGGGTTCTACTATACAGCATTAAATAAACCTCCTTATAAAGTGTGAGTCAAGAGTTGGTTCTGTCAAGCTTGTTTTAGACATCAAGGCAGTTCATGAAATAAATTCCAAGTCTTATGTACTTGAAATGCAGATGAATATACTTTCAGGTTTTCTCATAACAGCAGTTTTAACACTTTAATTTTAGTATCCAATTGATATTTTATTTATAATACATCGAAATATTCTTCACCCCAAATAACCTCATCTGAGGACACAACTAAATTGAGGTCATTATAACCTGAAAGTTTTTCTCATTCTTTCCCACATTTGTGTGAATGTCTATGTCTATATTTGAAATGTCCATGTGGAAAGTGAAAATGATTATAGTCCTTGAACTGTGTAAAAGAAAAAACTGTTTATAATTTTATTTTCCTTGGATGTGGGTCATTCTGATTGACTTACTTTGCTATCTCACAGATTCAGATACAGAACAACTGAAATTACCTGCTGTCTAGATGATGGCAATACAGATGTGGAGAAATGTAGTATCCAGTGTTTATAACTTCTATATCCAGCCACTTTTTCCCTGCAGTATTCACTATTCAGAAGAAATAAAGTACTACCTGATGAACAGCAATCATCGTGAAATGTGGTTGTGTTGTCATGCCATCATTTTGTTTTTAAATTATGGCTACTAGAAAGAGGAGTGGTTTAAATTTATATGATATAAAGTCTGCAATCCATGATTATCATACCTTAGATAAACTACTGTAAACACACTGACACTCAATTTTTATTTACAATCTCCATTTATTTAACGAGGACATAATCAGACTGTTCTGTACCCCCACTAGCTTTGCTGGGAACTGAGATACAGCTGGGGAGAGACCAACCACTGTTATCCTCATGGACTCTTCAGTCTGGCATGGCACTGCTCTCTGAACAGTATTTTTTTAGCCCCGGTGTTGCTGTTCTGTGTTGTATTTGTAGAAGGCCATTCTGATCACACATATGTGCCTTTTATATAAGGAATAAAAGGAAAGGCAGAATCTTGGTGGTTATGGTTTATGGTAGGCACCCCCAGAGGGTTCATTTTTCCTTAGAAGGTATTGAGCAGAAGGCCCACTGGGGAAACTAAAATGCCTGGGTTCCTTTTGTTTCTTAATAGAGTCGGATCTGGAAGGCCTCGATGACCTAGGTACACTTTACAGCCACATTGACCAACAGCTGAATGAAACAATGAGGCGCCGCAGACACGCTGGAGAGAACGATTACAACATCGAGGTGCTGCTGGGAGTGGATGACTCCGTGGTCCGTTTCCATGGCAAAGAGCATGTTCAAAACTACCTCCTCACCCTGATGAACATTGTGAGTAGTGACTCCTTTTTGAGGCTTTTTGATCCTCTAATTCACTTCTGCTGTTCTCATAGTGTCTTTGGGAAACCATGACTGCGCCCTGTGTCCCCAATATGTAGGCAACTGAGTTCAATTCCGAAGTTGATCTATGTGTTTGAAACACAAGAATGCCAAACCCAAGGAAGCATGAAGTAAAAGTCTCTTTTAGTTGACCATTTTCACGAAGGAAAAATCATGTATTTTAAAAGCCATGAAGGGACAGAATTATAACAGGGATAGTTTTTATTTTGTTTTTCTGGGATATTTTCAACACTGTCCTCCTGCCTTGATTCGAAACTGGGAAGGATGAAATAGGTCTTCCTAGCATTGCACTGTGTCCTGGGATGATGATGAATGATTTATGCCCATTGAGCTTCTGAATAAATATGATATTTCAACATTATAAGATAAAAGGCAATGTATTTACAAAGCGCACACTACTGGCACAGTGCTGCTCAGCAGTTACTAAAGAGCCCTTTAAGTTTGCTCTTTATATCTCCTTTATGAGATTTAATCAGATTCAGAAGAAATTTTTGTTGGTATCCTTGAACTGATGTTTTTTTTCTTTTGAATTGGCAAGAGCAATGGATAAGGAATGATAAAATATAATATATAGGCCACCTGCTTCCAAAAGATAATTGAGATAGTAGTACACTGCTATGTTTTACCTCATGCCATTTTAAAATACATATTATATTGATCTTGTAAATGTATTACCTAATTCTTTCTATTCTCTGACTTTGCTTTTGGTTTTTTATTTATTTGGGGGGCATCTTTGTTTATTTCTTTCCCCTTGCTTAAGAGTAGATTTCATATAATTATACTGGAGAAGAAAAATCCTTCCTTTCATGAATCATGATTATATTTATGCTAATATTTTAGTTCATCTGCTATATGTATTTTTGTTCATTGAGATGCTCATATTCCATATCACTGTGAAATGGAAAATGAGTTTAGAGATTCAAACATTTTTATTTGTTCATTGGTACTAATTCCTGTTATGAAGACAAAACCACACACATTAATTAAACAAATTACTGAACTTGGCCATAGTTTTGTATATAGGTTTTCAACTATTGACTGTTAACTTTGTGTGTGACTTGATAGTTGTGTAAACTTGGGCGTGTTTCTTAGTCTCTGTCTATTTCAGTCTCCTTACCTTTATAAAGAGAAAAATAGTAGAAATGTTGAAAGGACTAAATGAGTAAATACAAGTCATGTTCTTTGTATAGTGCTCCATGCACACAAATATATAACCATATTTTAGTTTTTCATGTTGAATTTTACTTTTTTTAAATTATCAAAAACTTAAAAATTCCTGTGAAAATTGCTATTTTCACTTCCTGCATTGTGCCTGGGGCAGTTTTTTTCCTAGGAAGATACTTTATTAGGCTCCTAGCTGGTGCTTACAATCAGAATCACAGAGGGCTCTGGGAGTAATACAGTAGATATTTGGTTTTTGTCCTCATAGAATTTACAAATTGTTGAGGAGAAAAGATAAATATAGGGAAAACTACAAAAAAAATCAAATAATAAAAAGCATGTTCTTATTAATACTAGCATCTTAGGCATTATAATATAAATATTATAGCATTTCAGAAAGTGATAAATGACCCCATTCGTCACATCAGGAAGCTATGAGGGCATTCCATGAGGACTTAGAAGGGTAAGCAAGTTTTAGCCTCATGGTTCTGTGACCTTAGAAAATTTGTGTTCTTTCCTAGGAAGCAATTTCCATGCTTTAAAAATTGAAAGATTCAATAAAATGTTCATTAATTCTGTAATACATTCAGAAGCTAGGAGGTAAACTAGGTCTTTGGGGATTTTCTGTCATTGTTTTGATTTTGGAGGAGGGAAATCCCAGCTTTGAAAGCATGCGCCACTTGACCAAGCTCACTTAGTGAGCTGGCATAAACAAACTCATGCTCAATGACTTCATAACCCTTCTCTTAACTGCTATTCTACAGGGCTTCCTGGTGGAAGAGGTAGAGGGGGGTGGTGGCAGGAAGACCAAGTGACGGTAGGCAAGGGTCAAATTACAGTAGGCCTTAACTGCTATGCTAAGGACCATGTACTGGATTTCATACTGAGAACTAATGATTAGATTTTAGAATCAGGAATCTGATGGCTGGCTGGGCAATGGTTAATGAGAGAATGGAGCTTTCTGCAGAATGTCACAGTGATTGAGGAGAGATTTGATGAGGGGCTAAACCAAAGTTGAAGCATGAGAGTGGAAAGGAAGTGAACAACATGGAAAATTTTATGTTGACCAAATATATTTGCTGTTCTCATCTTGCTGAGATGGTAATGATTTAGGAAACTAGTAATTCTAAATAAATTTTATTTTTATTAAGTAAAGTATAAGGAGAGAAAGCAACAGTAGTTGTATTTCAGTTGTGGCTCTTCCGTGAATGCCCTTTAAATTTGGGATAATTGAGTAATTTAAAATTCAGGTCAGTGGGTTTTTGAAAAATCCCAAAATTGGTATAAAATTCCATGACATTCAGCACAAATATGCCCATTGTTTACCTGTAGAATTCTTTATTAATCTCCTAAACTATGCTGGTATGTTGTTAGGTATTCCAGTTTGAGAGAAACTATGATTTTAAAAATGTATTCACAACAAGTGGGAGAGAAAGGTTAAGTATGAGGTTTAATTCATGCTGATATAGCATATATACGGCTCTCAGCTGAGAGCCTAACAATGTTTAGATATTACCTATAATAAGCTTTCTTTAAAAAAATAAAACATTACCAAATAAATAGATAAGTAAAACATTACCACACAAAGATTAATGGAAGAATTCTGCTTGTCCATGGAGATTTAAACAACATAACCTAAACAGATAGAAAGGAGGGAGGGAGGGAATAGGTCAGGGAAGGAAAGAAAACCTTTGAATTAGAAGGTATTTTGCTATGTAGTTTATTAAGGATGACCTTTGAAAAGGGAATTTTACTTTCAGAAAAATAGTATGCTAATGTGTCAATGTTAGGTAAAAGTCTTTAAATTAAAAGCTGGATCAAAAATGTCACTCTCTAGAGTTTGTTCTATATTTGCAAAATTTCCAGTTCTCTAAGAGGTCATATACTGCCTTCCATAATATCTTGTACTGTGGGGTTCTGGCATATTTGTTCTTGCAGATTAAGGACAGGAAACAGAGAATACCTCAAGTGTAATGAAATAAAAACAGCTCTAAATTTCAAAGTTTAGTTTGCAGGGAACACAAGCTGGTGTGGTATAACAGTGCCATTTTTTAAAATTGGAATTTGTATTAAATTATTAAGTGAAAATCAGTTAAAAAGACATAAAAGATATGTGTTCATCTACTCTGATCCCTTTAGGAAACTAGAATTTTTTTCAGCCACTACACACTCACCTGGTATTTTCTGTCAGTTGTCTTGCTTTTGTGAATCACTGTCAATTTTCTTTATTCATATATTCAGTTCTACACATTTTTGTGGTGATGTTTGAGGGCAGAACTTTTCTCTTGTCCCCTCTCTGTCTCTTTCAGTGCCTTTCTGATTAATATGTTCATTCATGTCAGAATAAAGGAAAAGTTTGAGAAATATCAGTTATTCCAAGATAGACTAAAAGGCACCTGCCCATCTTGCTTTCTATTCTAACAATCCATAATGTAGCTGATTTTCAGTCATTAAAAATTGGTGTCAGGGTTTGAAATCAACATAGATTGGGACTGCTAGGCAGAATATCCAACTAATGTTTACATATATAAAAAAAGAAGCTGTTCTTTCTACATTTTTTGAAGAAGGAGTATAATGATTCCTCCTCTCAAGATGCTTAGAATTTAAAAGGAAGCCAAGAATCATTTGAAAGGACCTTAGGTGACCTATTAACTCACTCCTTCACTTTAGAGTTGAAAAAACAGCACATGAATCCTGTACAAATTAGATTAGTGTGGCTGTTGCTGGTTAGAGAAAATACCATACATTGGTTTCAGGAAATTTCATCTTTCACAATTTCTGCAGTGGCATTGATTTAGAACACAATGGGAAATAGGGTAGCAATGACAACCCATTCCCATGCCTTTGTTCTTTGGCCTCTTCAAAATAAATAAACAAATAAATTCCTTCTTTCCTTTCTTCCTTCCTTCCTCCCTCCCTCCCTCCCTCCCTCCCTCCCTCCTTCCCTTCCTTCCTTCCTTCCTTCCTTTTATTTATCAAGATCAGAATCTACTATCAGTTCCTATAAACTTTTCACAAATTATTCCTTCCTTACTATAAATTTAGTGAATCCCTTGAGAGCAGTTCTCTAATTGTTTATTTGTTCCATTCATGCAGCTATTATATGTTATTAAGCTTCCTATGTAAGGTATCAAAAGCAGTGTCTGCCACATAGTGGACATGCAATACAATTTTAATCAATTCTGTCTTTTTAACATATATTGTAATGCTATATACTAGGTATGTAATGGTAAGCGCACACACACACACACACACACACACACACAAACTTACTTTTTTCCCTCAGTGAACTTAGAGACTGTTGGAGAAATCAAATAAACATATCATAGGTTACAAGGCAGGGAACTAATAATTTGCTAGGAAAGAGAATAATGGCAAATGTTTGACAGGGGTTGTACACGAGCATAACGGTTAAGCAAGCTTTCTTTCAAAAAATAATTCTGAAGTTGAAACCAAAAGTAAAAGAGCCAGCCATTGAATTAGCACTTGTGTTTTAGTGACCAAAGGAAGGCCACTGGGGCTCTAGTCTGATGTATGAGGAGTCAGGTGGAACTAGGCAAAGGCAGAAAACCCCTTGCAGGTAATAGAAGGACTTTGAATACAACTTCCAGTGCAATGAAAAGTTGTTAAAGGCCAGTTTCTGTCTCTCTGACTTGTAAAAAATAAATTGGAGAGACCTAGGGGACAAGGTAGGTAGACAGATTGGAAAAGTAATTGTAGATGTCTAGGCAAGAAATGATGGTTTATTGGGCAGTGGTGGTTGCAGCAAA